CGCCACCTTAGGTGTATGTGGCTGGCGCCTTAGCCGCTTGAGCCACAAGCGCCGAGCCGACTAACTGATTTAAATGTAAGAATCTCTCAGTATATAAATGCAAGTATTTAATGGGTACTTGCAAATTTACAGTGTCTCCTCAGCAATTACCAGTCTCAATCCTACTCATAATCTTTCCCAGTGACCCAGAAAGTCTAAGAACATATTTCTAGGTAATTTTTCAAAGATCAAAGTTTTAAAGATTATATAAAAATGTCATATAGTCATATATTCATAAACTGGAGACAGTTTTGTTTTATTTAGCAACGCATACCAAGTGTAGCCTGATTTTCACTACATCTGGTGTTATCCTGGATGCCCCAGCTTTTGCCCACAGAGCTCTAATTGTACATGGCTTTATGATCCAGTTCTAAACTCTCATTAAACATGGATCATTTAGGTTGAGCATGGTGGTTCATGCCTGTAATCCCAGCAATTTGGGAGGCTGAGGCAGCAAGATCCTTTGAGGCCAAGAGTTTGAGACCAGCCTGGGCAATATTGCAAGACTCTATCTCTATAAAAAATAAAAAATTATCCAGGTATGGTGGTACGTGCCTGTAGCCCTACCTACTGTGAAGGCTCAGGCAAGAGCATCATTTGAGCCCAGGAGTTGGAGGCTACAGGGAATGCAACCAGACAACAGACTAAGACTCTGTCTATTAAAAAAAATGTTTTTTTAATGTGAATAATTTAAAAGGACATTTCAACTTTGATTAATACTCATTCCCATTCCCAACCCATGCTTCACCAATCTTGGCTTTATCCAGAGATTACACTTCATAGATCCTTACTAACAATCACTGGGAAATGCAGAAGAGATGGGCTCTTTTATGTAACTTGCCCTATTTCATGTTCATGGTATGCAAATATATGAGTATGATTTGATAACAGCAAAGGTCAGATTCTAAAGGATATAATCAACTAAACTACTAGAAACCAGAGATGAATTAAGCAGGTGAATTAAGTTTGAAGATAGGCTTAGAAAAAGAAAACCCTAATTATTTTCCCAAATACACTTAGAACAAAAATTTGTTTTCATATGACAGTATATGTAAATTCTTACACATACTCAGGTAACAATAATGTAGTGATGTGAATTCAAATTATCAATTAATTGTCCCATGTAATCTTTTATACAGATCCTTTATCTGATAAGGATCTGTGTATCTAATCCTTTGCTACCTCTGGGACCACAAGAAAGGTTTAAGAAAGGAGAAAATCTCATGGAGCAACTAAATCTTACAAATGTTAAACCAATGGACATGCTCTCCCTCTCACCTGCCCTCCTCCCAACACACAAACCATTAATATCAATCTGTCCTAAAAAATATGGCTATTTTATCCAATGACTTGGCTTTTCCCTGGTTCTGTTTCAATAATATGGTCTTGGCTCAGTGCCTATAGCTCAGTTGTTAGAGCACCAGCCACGTATACCACAGCTGGCAGGCTCAAACCCGGCTTAGGCCTGCAAAACAATAATGACAACTGCACAACAACAAAAACATAGCCAGGCATTGTGGTGGGTGCCTGTAGTCCCAGCTACTTGGGAGGCTGAGGTAAGAGAATCTCTTAAATCCAGGACTTAGAGGTTGCTGCGAGCTGTGACGCCATGGCGCTCACCAAGGGCAACATAGTAAGACGCTGTTTAAAAAATATATAGATATATATGGGGATGGCACCTGTGGCTCAGTGGGTAGGGCGCCAGCTCCATATACCGAGGGTGGTGGGATCAAACCAGGCCCTGGCCACACTGCAACAAAAAATAACCAAGCGTTGTGGCGGATGCCTGTGGTCCCAGCTACTCGGGAGGCTGAGGCAGGAGAATCGCCTAAGCCCAGGAGTTGGAGGTTGCTATGAGCTGTGTGACACCACAGCACTCTACCGAGGGTGAGAAAATGAGACTCTGTCTCTATAAAGAAAAAATAATGGCTCGACGCCTATAGCTCAACCGGCTAAGGCGCCAGCCACGTACACCTAAGGTGG